ACATAAATAAAATTTTTCAAAACATGAATTTTGACAATGAATTTCCAAAGTCAATAATTATATAACCAACTACTTGGTGGTTAAGTCTTATTTATGACAAATAAAGTGAACCAATTCAGTTTTCTCCATCATAATGATAAAAACCATTTAAAACAATAACAAAAAATAATACTAAGCATATACATGAATTATAGATGTATTAATCAGCTTCTGCTGGGGCCAGGGATTTAGCTCAGCAGTTCAGTGGCCTGCCTTGCAAGCACAAGGACCCGAGTTCAATCCCCGGTACAAACAAACAAACAAAAAAAATCAGCTTCTGCTATTGCTGAGACACATTAACCAAATTCTACAACTTAAAGGAAGAAAGGTTTAATTTACTCATTGTCCATGATTAGCAGGTTCCAAGGCAGAAACATCAGGATGGCATGGCCTATGGGGGCAAAGCTGCTTAGTTCATGTTGGTCAGAAGGTACAGCAGGGAGAAAATAACAGGAAGGGCAAGGAACTAAAAACAGACCCCAACGCCATGCCACTGTCACCCATCTACACATACTCAAAACCATTTGACACTCTTCCCTAACCACAACAGATAAAACGTGTGCAAAAACTCTATGTAATATAAAGCTCCTAAAAAGAGACATCAGCCTCTGCTATATTACATCTCCCCTATTTTCTTACATTTTTTAAAATTTTGCCTTGGTAGATATATATATAGGTCATGTAACAAACTAATGCCTACACATTAGCCATAATTTATTTTAATCTGCAACTTTTTTTTTTTTTTTTTTTTTTTTTGGTACCGGTGATTGAACTCGGGTCCTTTGTCTGTAACATTTCTAAGGCAAAAATAGTGGGTCAATATGTGCCAAGCCGAATTCTTTTTAATAATACAGGATACAAAGGTCTAGCTTGTTTCTACTATGAAGTTTGAAAAATATTTAACTTATAATATTGAAAAAAAAGGACTATGCAATCGCAACTCTTTGATACTATTCTTTAAACAATTATTTGCTGCTTTTGTGATATGTTGAGAAGTCAGTGATAATAATTAATTGCTGTACATTTCTTTGGATCATCATAAAATATATGGCCAAATACCTACACATCCTTTAATGCACTTCTGGGAAGAAAATCATCCAAATTCATTGGTCATTTTTTCAGTAGACATTGCTTCCTTTCACAAACTTTGGTAAAGTCATATGAATATAAATCTTTAAATAATGTCATTCTCATTCTACATAACACACAGATCATAGTATGTGCAAAGTATAATGCAATGTGTGACAGCAGACGGGGAATTATTTTATAGACAAAACACATGCATTTTAGTGTGTTAAATTGAGGTGTAAACACTAAATCATTAATTCACCATGCTTCTGTAAAAACACTATTGTGTGAAGTATGCTATGCCGTGCATAGTTTATGAGTACACTTGAAATCAAATTAATAAATTTCCTTCCTACTTCGAAGAAGTTAGCTTCATTTTTTTCTCTGATTATAGATAAAAATGCATGATCACAAACTAGTGCCAGACTAATCAAATTCATTCTCAATGCTGAAGAAGCATAGATTGTTGATGATGGTGGGTTAATATCCACACCAATTCATACATTATTCTATATAAATCACATAGTAACAGCTACAAGGAAACAAATGAGAGGGCAAGAGGGTCTCTTCCCCAGAGGAGTCTGAAATCTAAATGAAAAAAGCAGACATACATGCACAAAGCTATTACAGAGCACAGTCAGGTGGAGGTAAATATATACATTAGAAAATAAATGTTGAGGGAATGTATAGTAAGAAAATAATTTTAGTTATGACTACTAAATGATGGTTTATAAAGATATTATTATTAAATATTTGTTTTTAGCAGAAAATAATATAATGAAATTACTTCCTCAGAGCGTTTATCACTGGAATGATTAAATACCATATGAATTCGTAATTGATGACTTTAATATTCTGAAAAGACTGTGCTTTGAGAATATTTAGTAAATATTATTAATACATGTGTGCATACATACTTACATAAGTTTTCTTTTAGTAGTGCCTAAAGAAAAAGATACCAGGTAAAATTATAGTAAAAAAGGAAATCAGCCATGAGAGGATAAATGCCTTGGTACTAATAGACATAAATTTTGAAAAATAGTTATGCAACAGCATTTAGAAACTGCTTTCTGCAATATTTAAATATAAATCTGTCAGGTTGGATAAATATACTTATAAATACAAGAAAATAATAGGATGCTAGGAAACTCTCTAACCTTACAGAGGAACATTTTTCACACTCTTCAAAATAATTTCTAAACAATAATATTCTGGATCCAGTTACAAAAATAATGGGATTGAACAAAGCAAAAGAGAATATAAAAAATAAGACTTTATAGTTACAAGATTTTGACTGCATTTCCATATGGAGAAACTGAGGCCCAAAGAGATGTATGGACTCGATCAAGGTCACCAGATAGTTATCAATGACTAGAGATCAGGTCCTAAGACTGGCATTGCACTGTAACTATAATGCAACAAGCTACCTCTAATAATTTAGTCCTATAGAAAATTTTGTTCTATAAGGGGAAAAGGTCAATAAAATTTTATTTCATTGAAGATAAATATAAATAATTGTGTATAAATACATATATATATATATATATATATGTTTGCTATTCTGATCTTCTGATCTAGTAATACTGTAATACCTGAAACAGTATTAATACCTGGACAGAATTATCTTAAATTTGATATTTCAGTGATTTTTAAGGCATTGTACCTTTGCATAACTGCAGTGGGTTGAATAGTGTCCACTCAGGATACAACTTCATTTGGAATAGGGTCTTTGTAGATATTGCTGAGACAAGAATCAAGATAACATTTACACTAGATGTGGGTAGGCCCCAAATACAATTAGAGTGTCCTTATCAAAGACAACTGAGATGGCGAAAAGAAGTGAAGAAAGGCCCCTGTCCTGGAGTCTTAGGAAGAAATTCCTTGACATCTTGATTCAGATTTTTGGCTACCTGAACTGTAAGAGATCAAATTGTTCTTGTTCAAACCACCCAGTTTGGGGTGACTGTTACAGAACTCCTAAGAAAAATTAATCCAAACTACATAACTAATATTTCCAAAACTATAAAAGAATAAAATTTTGTTTGTTAAGCTAGTGGATGGGTACAAAATTATTTTTATGTATTTCATTTTTTAAAATTCATAGCGTTTTATATTCAAGTCAACCAAGGTTTAATGAAAGAAAGCCAAAATACTTAGCATATGACAAGAGTAAAAGAATATTGCAATAGACTTTCCTTATCGTGAGGCAGTGCAAAGTAGGGCCCAGGGAGCAAGGAAATATGGCCTGTGTTGGAGTGCTAACAATGACTAGATACATAACCTTATGCTAGAGCAAATTACTTAACCTCTCTGACACTCAAATCCCTCATCTATAAAATAGTAACAGTTGGATGTGATAGCATGTCTGGAAGGCTGAAGCAGAAAGATAGCAAGTCTGAACCAGGCACGGCTTCAACACAGCAACTTCATGAGGCCGTATCTTTAGAAATTTACAAAAGAGGCTACAGATGTAGCTCAGTTGAAGGCCCTAAATTCAAGCTCCAGGACTGGTGGTCAGTTTTGAAAAGGACTGGCACCAAAAGGCTTTTTTGTAATAGTTTTCTTGGCAGTACAGATTACTGACAATGGCATATATGTAAGGGATTATCTGGGATTTTTGTGCCCACTTTTTGTGACCCACTTAAAACAAGTGATGTTCTTTTCTTTTACTGGACTGAACACACAAACACATACACACATACACACACAGGCACATATCCCCAGCCAGAGCAGCCTAAACAAATACATATATTCAAAAATATTTTTATTTTTTCTTCCCTCTAACATTAACAAAACTAGAACATAGAGAGTTCCTATATGAGTAACTGGGGTTTACTTTAATGGTTATTGATTTAAGCCTCACATAATTTAATGTACACTAAAATGTATTAATACTAAGATATAACATGTATTATGTAGAGAATAGAAAAATTTAATTCTGGATACAGAAAACTACTATTCTTCAAGAACATAAAACATTCAAATACACTTAAAAATTTTAAAGGAAAGTTACAATTTTCAAAACAACAGTAAAAACATTTGAATAAATTTCTGTTAAACTTATAAAGTTTTATATTAATATCTTTTGTTTGCCTAACTTCTAAGTAAACTACTATTTTACATAAAACTGAGCATTTAATAATACAGATAATAAGCCAACACACCCAACTTAGAGAAAGTATGGCATTCATGTACTATGCAGTTATACTAGTCACTAATCCAAATACCACATCATATCTGAAAACCATTAAATGTGAACACATTTTAAGAAAAATGAATTTAAAGATAACTACAATAATGATTTAAATACAATATAATCCTACTAGAAGAAAACATAAATCTATGGTAATAGCAAGTCACTCAAAGCTTCAACTGCATTTTATGTCATGAGATACTATTTTTAGAAAATTGTAATTAACTAATTACTATATTTAGGAAGAATTACTAATATGACTATGAAAAGCTAAATCCAAACATGAAAAATAAGACTAATGTAAAAACAAGTAAAATATAAATCTTTTCTCTTTCTCTCTTGGCTAGTTTCTTGACTACATCTAGTTTTTTTTTCTGTTAATATACAGATATTTCAGTAAAGGAAACACCCCACAATAATAAATTCTATTTTTTTCTGTGGCTTTTCTCTCCCAAATTCAACTTCTGTAGTGTGTTTTCATTATCTTGCTGATAAATCCCACAAACCTCAGTCAATTTATCTATCACCATCTCCCTCTGAGCTTCAAATAAGTTAGAAAACCAGAAAAGTTCAAGGAAGTTAGAAAAGTCATCAGAGGATGCCAATTGAGATTTTTGTTGAAAAATCCTACTTCCTAAGAGCGAACAGTTGAAAATTACTCACAAGGATCCTCAGAAAATGAAAAGTTGTTTTCACTGCTTCAACCAGCAAATTTAAAATGCTCCTCATCCACAGAAGAATACATATGGCCCCCAATGGTCAGATGATCAATTGCTTGCTTGATGACCTTCACACTTATTGTGCAGAGCTCAGTCTGCAGCTCAGGGACACGTTTCCCTTCCAATAGGGGACACACTTGAATCAAATGCAGCACTTTCTTCAAGATGAAGTTAAATTGACACTGGCCATGAACCACAGCAGCAACATCTATTTCTGACAGGGCCTCAGGCATACTTTCTTCAGTGGACTCTTGGTGTGCTTTATCCAGCATCATGTGTGAATTATCTACTTCCAGAATATGCATGGTAAACTCGCTCATGTCCTCAAGTACATGAATTTTCAATATCCTCAAGACTCTTTGCTCCCATGGAGCTTGAGAGAACACCGACCACTTTGACAAAGACTCCGACTGGCAGTGGAGTCTTCCCCTGCTTAGCTTTTTCTCTGCCAAGTCTCTGGTCAGCCTCAATTGGTTTAGGGGTCATGTCAACAATTTTGTAAAGAATATAGTTTGGAGCCCTCTCTGTCTCCTGGATTATCCCCACAATGGAAACCTGTGAAACCTAAAAGTCCCTAATCTTGAACATGTTTTCAACCAAAGTGGAGGTGAGCAGCTGGCTTACACAACAAATTATAAATGGTCTGGATTTGAGACCTGGATCTTACAATCTTGGTTGCAGTACTTGTGTCTATGAAGCAGAGTTATTGCCATAGCTCCCATACTCACTCTTTTTCATATTAAGGTTTGGCTTAAACAGAGGAAGAGGTGGAGTTTGACTCTGAAGACCACTCCACAAGCTACCTCAGAGCTCTGGCAACAATGGAATGGCAAGCATTTGATGACACAGTCTGCTTCCTGATACCAGTAGAGTCAATCAGATACCAGAAAGTCACAGCCTCTAGCCTATCAAAACCTGCCAAATTGTCCCCTGATCCCATAAAACTTTGTTGCCGTGCTGCATTTTAATGGCACCAGATATAATTGTAACCCTTTCCTGCCATCTTTACAAAAATATACTTTTACTACTGAAAATCTGTCTTAGTCTGCCCCTTCATTCCAATGGTATAATTTCTTCCAGTCACTTCTTTAAGATTTATTTACTCATTCAATCAACTGTATCAAAGAAATTTTTAAAACACTTAAGGCCTCAGCCCTATGGTAGAGTGCTATAGATTATATTAGGGTGGGTCATGGGATATACTGTGGTTGCTGTGCTCAAAGAACTCACATATCTTGCTCACATCATTAAAACTAGAAGCATTTGGAAAAAACTGGAGAAACACCCACCTCTGAACAATTATTATATTAGAAAATAAGTCACATATAATCACTTTTAAATTTTTATTAAAAATTATAACTTTCCACTTAGTTCCCAAATGTATAATTATATATAAAAATATGGCATTTTAAAATTCATACATAAATGAAACTGAATGAGTGAACTCTAAATTATTTCAAAGTTGTGCATAACAGTCAAAAAATATACAATATTTAAGTCAAATTCATGTTAGGAAAAACATGAATAAAATCACTATGTGCTTTATATATAAACTTAACTATTAAATTCTAAACTTGATATTGACATAGAGGGGTGGCACACACCTGTTATCCCAGAACTTCAGAGGCTGAGTCAGGATTTGAGGCCAGCCTGGGCTACATAGTGAGTTCAAGGCCAGCCTGAACTACACAGTGAGACCCTGTCTCAGTCATCATCATCATCATCATCATCATCATAATCTTAATGTTGTAGCAATTGATAGATACTAGAGTATTTTGCTAGCATACTGAAAGATCCATTTTTCTTTAGAAGAAAGTTTATCTGGGGGTGTTATTAGAATTCATTTCATGCTTACTCAAAGAACAACAGTTGTTGGAATCTATTACTAGGAAGTAACCTTTTCCTTAATATTCCTTTATAATACAGTCAGCTAATAGCTTAACTGTGTAGTTTTAAGGAGTTTATTAATGATCTCTGGCTCATTTCTTTTACTGGTTGAAATTATTTAGTGTTTGTGATCTCAAAATTAGAAAAAAAAATATATCTAAAAGTTGCATAAAATATGAAATAATATATACCTCTCAAATTAAAAAAATAAAAGTACAGAGCCAATATACTTATTTTGTAAATGAATATCTAAGAATAATTATCTGAGCATACAAATATATTTCCATGTTAATGTGGATATATAACTTCTGACCTAATACAATCAAAGAGAAATTAAATATTCAACTAGTATTTGTATTCTTAAGATTTACACATTTTAAAGATCAAGTTAACTAAACATACTTTAAATGTTTACAACCTGACAATCAAACATTGCTGTTCTATTAGCTAATATCAGATTTTTAGTCAGAAAATCTTAAAGTTACAATAACAAAACTGACTCTACTCTCAAACAATTATGTATAGCACCAATTGTATGATTCATACCGAAATGATAAGAATCACCTACCTGACAGGATTACTGGTTAAAGAAACCCTCAGGGATTCTAAGCAGTTAAGAAGTTTCTCATCTGAAATACCAGATCGCAATTCATGAACATATTCTTGTGAAGACAGAGTGCATTCATGTTTGCTGTTTTTCAGCCCGCCCTATAAAATAAAAAAAGATACCAGTTTAGACAAGGTTTTAAAAACCTTTTTTGAAGTAAAATAATACCTAGAACATAAGTATTTTACTATGTAATATATGTGCAGAATGATAGGCACATAAATTTCTTGATCATAGAATTGAGTGGTAAAATTGTGTTATCTTCACCCACATTTAAAAGAAAATTATACTGTTAGTGCTCGTGAACTGAAGAAATACAGACTAAAATTGCATAAAATGTCACTGACAAGGGTAAACTTAGAATCCTGGCATTAGGATTAATATTAGTTACTCCTCTTTAACCTAGAGAATGAATATTTTAAAAAATCATCTTAATCATTTTCCTACTTAACATTTATATTCAGTTCCACAGAATGCAGAAAACAAAATATAATGTAAAACATTAAACATGATCTATATCTGTTGAAAGATATCAAAGTATGACCATATCTCAAAAACAAGTGAAAATGATTATTAAAATGTAAAACAAGATATTCTCCAATTGGCATGCTAGTCAAATCAATGTAAAGCATTCACTAATTCACAACTATTCCTTCTTGTTACTTCTATGTTGTAATTGTTAAAGTCATTAAATACATTTATCTGAAAGCAATGAGTTTTAAACTTTCTAATATACAAGGGGTTATTTCTAGAACTTATTATCTCACCATAGCTCCTTAACTTCACCACCTCCCTGTACGTATATATGTAGTGCAGGGAAAAGAATGGGAAGAAAGGAAAACACCATCAACAGGTTCACTTTGCTGTTGACTCTTACTTTCAAATGCTAAACAAACCCAATCATAATTTCCTCTTCACTACAAATATATTCTTCTGAGTTAAGACTCTAGCTTGAGTCCCTTTTTCCAAGTTCATACAAATAACAGTCAGTTTCTGCTAAGAATCCAAGTAAAAATTAGAGGATGGGAATATTTTTTAAAACAATATGGTAATAATGAGGTATGGATTTCCTAAATTTCATACTATTTGGCTTTTTATTACAAATGCCCCGTTATACTTTAGGGCTCAAATGTGTCCCAAAAGTCTCATTTTTGGAAGGTGACTAGATTATGGGAACACTATATTCATCCACATGGTCACTAGGGCCATACTTTTGAAGGGTATATCACTCATTCTGGTTCTTCACTGTCTCCCTGCTTCCTGGATACCATGGGTTGAATAGCTTTCCCTTGAATCCTCTGAAATCAAGAGCCAAAATGTACTGTTTCTTCCTTAAATTGTATTTATTAGGTACTTTGTCACAGCAATTTGAAAGTGACTAATGCACTTCAATATAGAAATCTCAATCATTCTTAATTTCTGAATTGAAATTCCATTAAGTAATAAATGTTAAATGTCTGATAAAGGTTTACAACATATAAGGGTACTCTATTTACCTATAGCACTATCATTATTATCACTATTATAGCACTTAAGATATTGTGGTAAAGGTCATTTATACCTTTCTCATTCTATACTGGAAACTCCATGTATATCAAGTATCTGACAGTACCTGAATTTGCCCAAGAATAGTACTATTATTGAATTTCTCCACTGGGAATTGAGTTTCATATTTTAGTTGCCATATTTTGTGTAATGACCACTAACTGGGTTTTTCTTGTGTTGTTAAGAGATGTAGTAGATAGTAAAGAACTTTATAAATGAATCCCCAGATAAATGGTGAAGTAAATAAAACATCTTTTTGATATAGTTTCTCTATTCCTATAAACAATCCATTCATGTCTTATTCCATAAGTAGTAACAGCAGATAAACATTTATAGTATAATTGGAAATTGTACTTTTATTTTTGTTCAACTAACTCATTTTCTATAACAATGTAAAGTCCATCAGTAACAATTAATGGAACGATTTACTGCTGTACCTCAGTGAAAACTAGTAGTGTAAGAAATTAAAAATTTGTAAGTCCATAGTCACAAACTACTTTCATATAATTCTCAAAATTATTTTCTTAATTAATAAATTAAACAATCTCTACTGACCCTCCCCTGGAGGCCTGTATAAGAAGCTTTGTATTTTGTAATTTTCTCTGCTTGGAAGACTCAGCAGAATCTCTCCCTTACTTCCTCCCATCTTCTAAATCTCAACTCAAAAATCTTCTCTTATCACATTTTACATTTCAATGATAGTAGTAGCTTTGTGTAAGTTTATCTTGTTTAATAATTAAGTCATTTACTGTGCCTTCCCCATTAGAACACAAGCTCTTTGAGACAGGGATACTACCTGCCTTATTCACCACTGGTTTCAAAGCTCATAAGAAAGCATTTTGTCCACAGTAAACTTTTAATACATATTTCTAGGAAGAAAGGCAAGGAGAAAGGAGGGAGAGAGGGAGGGAGGAAAATAAATCTGTGAATGGCAGGTGGTATAAATTCTAAGCTTAGTTTAGGTTTGCTTCACAATATTATACATTCTGAGACTTACAGTTATAATATGTTCAAAGAAGCTTAGTATAAAACAGACAAACCAAGATACTATAGAGCCTGCTGGAGACAGCTCAGAATCACAGCCCACTTAGTTTCTACTAATTTTTATCACATAATTAACTAATCTCTATAAACATGTTTGCTCATCTATGACCTAGGGATAAGAAACACCTAGCCATCATGTTTGTTATGAAGATTAAGGCAATGTACATAAAGTGCCTAAAACAAGCATTTCATGTGGACCCTCAGAGACATAGAAAACGATACTTTCTTTTTTCTTCTAATTGACTTTCATAGGATTAGTTTACTTAAGGTGTACAGTGACAGCTAAGATACTATTTATGGACAATTTGGCCAGCCCCACCCAAGTCTCAGAAACAAGTATAAGTTACATGATTTAGGATACTCCATTATAAGGAATGAAATCAGAAAATTCAACAGAGCAAGACAGAAAATATAATTTAAGAGAACAAATGCTTTTTGGCAAGTATAAAAGAACTTTGGGGTTTTAACATAATTTCCTATTTGAAAATTATGTGAACATCATAGCGCATTAAAGCTAGGCCTACCCTTGAAAGATCACCTTGCCTTTTTTTTGGGGGGGTGGTACCAGGGATTGAACTTGGGTACTTGTGCTTGCAAGGCAGGTGGCAGAACCACTGAGTTAAATCCATGGTCCAAAGACCAGGTTTTCTAATGTACTCATTACAAAAATAAAGAATACACGTGACTGCCAAACTCACATAATTCATAATGCTAAAGGATAAAAACACAAATATTCCACAGGAGGGGATGAAGGGAGCGAAGGGGTAGGAGAAAAAATGAGAACCAAGCCCTGTCATGTAAAGGTACAAGGTCCCAATGATGAATGTAACTGTACTGTATACCTAAAATGTACCAATAAACTCAATGAGAAATAAAAAGCACAAATATTCGCATCCTTAGGTCATCCCTTTGTCTACTAGATGCTGCCTTTCACCAATTTGGGGGGAAAAATGGAGCAACAAGTATTTAATTCTAAAATCTCTATTACAAAATATCAAAGTGTTTTCAAAATAATCAATGCGTTGCAACATAACATTAAAGAAGTCACCTAAAAACCAAACAGTGCAATAGATTAAACTAAATATCTCTATACTAACTGGGGCTGTAATACAAGAATGGCTTATTATTAACAGCCTGTTCTGATACCAAACAAAGGAAACAACTAGATAATGGATGGATAATAATGGAAATTCTAATTAGGTGCTCTGTATGAGATTAATGAAAATTACCACTGTGCCCATTTGATCTTTAAAAAATAATGCAGACAAAGTTAGCAATTAGCATACATCATGCTACTCCAAAGCTAGGTAAACAAAAAAACTTTCTTAATTTGAACTCATTCCTTAATTTGAAAATAATTAGGATGGAGATACTGTGCTTGTATTATTTTAAGACAAAGAAATAAAACATATTTTTGGTCAGTTTAATAGTCATATTCGGGCCGGGGATTTAGCTCAGCGGTTCGGTGGCCTGCCTTGCCAAGCGCAAGGACCCAAGTTCAATCCCCGGTACCAACACAAAACAAAACAAAACAAAAAAAACAGTCATATTCCCCTTACTCTGACATGAAATGTTAATATTAAAAGCAAACAAGTAATATTCTTTAAATGTTGTTTTAGTTTGCAGTGGAGATAACCACTTCTAAGTTTAGATTGACTTAGTCTGAGCATCATTTTTCATTCTTTAACATTAAAACAGATATAATTGAAGAACAGGTCTCACACTTCTGAGTTGTAAAACGTACCTTGCAACAGATAACGGATGGAACTATTGATTGTACACAGATAGTTTCAGGTACATTGTCCGTACAAATAGCAGTTACTATCAATGTTGTCATCTTCAAATAGAAAGACAACATTGTTTTAAAAAGTATAATTGTTACTACTATAGATAGATTTTATAAAATCTAATGTAATAAAATTTTGATATTTATGCTAATAAAATGAGTTTCTTATCCATCACTGTATTTCTCTAAAGATGCACTTTTATTAACAAATTTATAATTATATCTATAAAAGTACAGACTTGTTCTTTAAAATGCTCCTATAACTATAAATTTTGTTTTTATTATTTTTCATGGCGGGTTAAGTCAGGGTCTCACGATGCAGTCCATACCAGCCTTGAATTCACTATGGATCATAGGCTGGCCTTGAACTTCCAGTAATCCTCCTGCCTCAGCCTCCTGAGTGCTGGGATTATAGGCATGTGCTATCACACCCAGCTGTAACTAAATTTTAAAGCAAAACAAATTAAATTCATTTTCCTCATCATCACTTCCTTGAGTTCAGTAAGGAAGGGAAACAAAATAAGTGCCCTAAGTCAATCTGCCTATTTATTTTGATAATAATGTATTTCATGACTATACAACTCTAAATATGTTACTGAACCTTTGGATGGCATACATTTTTCTCAGAAAAACATCTTTTGTAAAGGAAAGTATTAAAGTTACCTATTTTAGTTATCCAAAATGTATCTTAAATTAAAATATTTCAAATAATTTTATATCTAATTT